GGGAGGGCGGGGGCCGGCAAAATGCTGCTTGGCCGTGCTGCCCCTCGGGGCCGCGTTTCTTGCTTTCCCGGAGACGCGCGGTGTGCGGTGTGCCCAGCGCGCACGTGAACAGGGGTGTTTCCCCGTCAGGTAATTGTCATCATTGCCTTCTGACGGACTGCGGCCCGAGCGCGCAGAAACCCTGCCAAAAGCCACCCCACCGGGGGGAGAGCAGAGCTGGGGAGTCTGAGGTCACCGACTCCCAAGGCCAACTTGCAGCTTACCACACATTTGCAATAGTTTGGGCTTTTTTTGAAAGCCAACACAAAGCCTGTATTTATGAAAGAATGGCACTTATTAACAAGGACATAATTTAGTTGCATAAACATGAGTGACTAGTGCTATTTGAGATGCTGAAAGATATCCAGGATACATACATGGGTCTGGAAAATATGCCACATGTCCTGTGGGAAACCTGACTACGCTGTCAGCTGGAGGTTATGCTGGGTACCATACAGCATCCCAAATGGCAGTAGGTTGGTTTTGGTTTTTTGGTTGGTTTTTTTTGGTTTTTTTTTTTGTTGTTTTTTTTTCACTGTAGTGAGATGAGTAAATGAAGTGACTCTCTTTGTGTTTCAGGCAGAAGTGAAGGTCGGCAAAGCAAGGGTATCGTACCTACCAGGAAGAGGAAGGGTGAACAGGCAAAATAAACGTCAGTAAGGGACAGTATCCAAGTACAACAGTGTATGTAAATCTGTTTTTTATTGTAAGACGTTGTCTCTCCCCCACTCTGACAAATGCATTGCACTACCAACCTTGAAAACCATCCAGAATGTCTCAAACCTTGTACCTTCTTTCTGACTTCAACAGATAGTGTAAGAGATGTCACTTCTATACCTTCCGTAGCTACAACAACGAATCCCACAGAAGTTCACTAGAGGGAGCGCTTGTTACTTACATCCATATAATAGAGCTATTCATAAACACAATTAAAAGAGGCTATAAACAGCACATACTAGATCTTGTATTCATGCCAGCATACAGACCATTCTTCCTTTTTTGGAAGAGGATATATTTCTCCCAACTACACATGTTCTTATCTGTGTACTTCTGCTCTTCCTGAAATGCACCATTTTCTTGACCTTAATGGTCATTTGCGGTAATGCATGCAAGATGATGCATGTAGGTGTTTACATAAAATAAAACAACAACCCAGTATAATTCCATTTCCTTTCCTTCCATTTTCCTTCCTCTCCAAAACACACCAAAGAAGAAGAAAACCTCTTTTTAGTTTAAAACTTAGCTGTATCTGTTGGAGGATGATTTATCTCCTGTGCTCATCTAAATCTTTTCTACTATATAATATCCAGAAACACTCCTAGTACATATCTCTTTAGAAATAGAGTATGCAGCATCCTGTGGCTACTTTCAATGTGATTTTTGTTTTCTGTTGTCTCTGAACAGGGGACATCTCTTTATTCTTTCTCACACTGAGGGAAACAAAATAATTCACTGTGCCGTGGAACAGTTTATGAATGGTATTTGGAGGTGGAGGCAGCAGCACAGAACAAAGAGAAGAGATTGCATAACTGTCAAAGAACCATTATAATGTTGTTTCCAGACTCTATACAGCCTCCTCCCAAAAAGCAAAATTAATCCCTGACGTGGGTAGGAACAGGGGAATGAACCTGGAGTTTATTCTTTTATTTCCCATGGTAAGAAACAGCTCCGCAAATCATTCAGTTTCCTTTTATTGTCTCTACTATTTTTTTTTTTTTTAAATCTGACTGAATGCTGTGTGTCAGTAAAGTATGTGGGTGTGCCGGAATGTCTACCTTGAATACATAACAGAAGTAATACATGTGCTGATAGGGGCCATTTCATTTAACTGAAATTAATCATCGCTTCCTGTGGCTGGTTCTCCACAGGCCTAATTGTTGTATTCTGTTTAAAGTGGTAGAATATGACAATATACAGAGACAGTTTCACTCTCTAACTCATCCTTGTGGCAGAGAATTGGTCTTGTTAGCAGAGAGAGGAGCATGCAATGCAGAGCAGGCCCTTTCTACTAAATTATCTCAGTGTACTGTGCCCACTGCCATCTATCTTACACTAAACATAAATGGCAAAATTTCTGCTTTTTGCTTTCACCAAGGAGCAATTAGTGTCTGTAGTTATACGGGTTTATGAACCGTCTAGTCAAACCATAGTGTGCCATAGCCTATAAAACATAAAAATTAGATTTAAATTGCAAAGACACATTGTACTATGCTTGCTAGAAAGATGTATGTTTTTAAATAGTTGTACCATGCTGTCAGATGCATTACTAATTTATTTTTTTTGTACAGGCACTCATGAGATGCTTTCACATATGTACAGAGTTCAGTAGCTATCACTTAAAATAAGTCCAAATCTGAAAGACTGGGATTTTGTTCTACTTTTTTTTTTTTTTTTTTTTTGTTTAGGGGAAAATATTTGAATGTCATTCAAATTAACACCTGAAAATGAAGTATTTCCTTCACAGTATTACATGTTACAGATTGATACCAAACATAAAAGCATATCATGTTTTTATGTACACTTTTTAAAAACAATTTTTTTCTTAGCAATTTGTCAAGTGAAATGCAAGAGCAGTTGGCTTATGTCTTCACCTACTCCTGAAGCAGAGAAGAGCTACAGGTTAATACTGATAACCTTCCTCAGTGGTATATTTTTCTTTTGTCAAAGGGAAGAATTCCATAAGATTCAGTACTCATGCAATAGTTAAAATTTTTTTGAAAGATTTGAAACTGCATTATTACAATTGTAGAACTATGAATTTCTGAAGAGCTTTTAAGCAGACAAGATCCTGTCTGTAGGTTCAGCCTGCCTTCCTCACTTATGTTTCACCTAATACAGAAAGACCAGAGATATTTTGGTGGATGTGGCATAAGTATAAATGACCATGGCATCGATTCCATATTTCAGCATCAGTGCCTGTAGCCCAGCTTTGCTTTCTGACACACACATTGGGGAGGTCAGGGGAATCAGTGGTAGAATGCTGTGCTGAATTTTCATTATTGCTTTTTGCTTCTGGCAATCCTTCCTCCTCATTTTCTAGGGTCTGATTGTGAAATCTGTAAAGCTAAACAAGGGGAGGATGACCAAGCCATATCATATTTGATTTGCTTATAACACTGCTCTTTTCATACTAACAGATGCTGTCAATATGTCTCAGAATGTCTTGCCAGACATTATTCATTTTAAGCTTTGCATCTTAAAAAATATCTTACTTTATTGACCTGATAGTGGGTTTATACTAAGATGCAGATTATGACAGCTGAAATAATCATCGTGTGGCCCAAACCACTGACAAAGTTTTATCAAAGTTGTTTCTGGCCCATAATATATATATACATCTATATCTATATACTTCTGTATCTACCTCTCTACATCTATCTATATACACATACACATACATGTATGTATTCAAACTGTACTATGATTGCTCCCTGAGCTCCCTCTGCAGCCAGCAGAGATACACAATTTTGTGTAGGGAGAGTCCTTAATTGTTGTGGTGATTCTGTGCTAGGGGATGACAAGCCACCCTAGGATGAATTTGTAAATACTCTCTTGCCTTGTCTCTCCAGATATGTCCGTAGGTAGGGAGAGCACTTCCGAAGTGCTTAGATATGAAAAAAGCCTTGATGGTCAGAATGAAACTCTTAAATCATGTAGGTATAACATATGATTAATACTGGACAGCAGTCAACTTCCAGCCAGAGACTAAAAGCTCCAAAAAAGATTAGGTTGTTGAACTTGCCACAATCAAGCAGATATTCACATACTGTTGCTTGAACACATCTCTGTGGATATCAGGCAGCCTAAATTGCCTACACTGGAAAAGCTTCCATCACACTCCTGGACTGAGGTAAAACTGCATGTTTCAGTAACAGTTTTCTAATTCTGGGTTAATTCAGGTTATTTATCCTGTGATAGCTATGTGATGTAATTTCCTATCTCCACTTCCTTTGATTTTAGCAACTGCCACATCAGGCTGTTAAATGTGATGCTGGAAGCGTGGATCTACACTGGACCATGCCAAAAGTAGCATGAAAGTTCATTCAGTCTGCCACCAAGATAAGAGAACTTTCAAAGATCCTCATGCACGTTCCTGTTCCGGGTCTTCCCACTAAGTCATGAGAAGAAGTGATAACTCAGACTACATACACTGAGAGCAGACAGAGTTTTGGGGAAGGCAGCTACAATGTTCTCACCTGTTTTGCAGGAGGAGAATTGGGATTCAGGAGTAACAATACCTAAAAGTGACAGTCTGTGCAAGTTGTCTCTGTAAGGGATTAGGACAAACCCAGTCAAGGGTTATAGGTGAACTGGCAGATTCAATTTAGAATAGCTTCTTGCACATTTTTTTTGTCTTGATAACAGTTGTATATATTTTCTCATGAGAACACATCAGCAATGCTGTCTATATAAAAGGCTGCTGTGAAGATTCCAAAGAAACATGAAGCAGTTTTGGACATCAAGAAAAAAACTATTTGGTGGTCAAAGCTGCTGTTGAAGAGCAGTGACATCTTCTCAAAGAAGGATCCACAGGTGCTGACCATATACCAGAACCTGGAATGCTAGGAAGGGCTGAAATGCCTCTCCCTGCCTCCACCTTGCCTGCTGGGCCCTCTCTTTTTCACACTTCCCCTTCATTTTCACATATGAAAGGCAAGCTGAATGCCTTGTCATGAAGGAGGACTTGGATTCAGAGGCACACCTCCTATGTGCAACCTTCTCTTTTCTGGGATGCTTGACTGCATTCACAGCAGAGGATGAGTTCACTGTAGAAGTTCACCAGGCTGTTTAGTAACCTGCAGCTGACACAGCATTGTGCTGACACAGCCTCCATCAACCTGAAAGAACATCCCTGGGTCTACTGCAAGCATTGATACTGTGAGCAACCTGCAGTTGGACTTGGGA